GGCCACCACTTAAATCTATAAAGGAACTATAAAATTTATTACTATAGGAGGACAGCATTGACCTCTCTTGCTTTCCACAAATTTCATGAGAGAAAATGAAATGAAAACTTAAATTTGCACAGGACTCTTAAGAAACATCAATTTCACTTTTCCAGACTCTGGCACTAAGGGAAGGCAGGAGAGACAGCCTGTAATGGGGCTGGGAATAGATTCCCATCCAAGTGAAAAACCTTATACATTAATCTAAAATGGTGCTGAATTTCTGGAACAGCTACTATTTGTTTGTTTTGTTTTGCTATGCGGATCAGGGCTTACCCCTGTGGGGCTCAGAGGATCATATGCGGTGCTGGGATTTTAATCCAGATAGGCTCCGCGCAAGGCAAGTACCCTACCCCCTGTACTATCTTGCCTGCCCCTGGAATAGTATTTAGGGCAGACTCTAGTATATAAAACCCGGCAGAAGCAGACCCAGGCACAGACCCTGGGCAAATTCCAAGAAGGCTACTGTGCGGAATTCAAACCCAGAACTATGCTAAACTCCGCCCACAGGACAGAAAGGCGAAGGGTGTGCCTTTTCCAGGGAGCGACTGCTAACACGACTGCCAGTTATACTTCCCCTGTACAACCCACAGTCTAAAAACTCCAAATCAATTCTAATAGCAAATTAGAAAACTTTTCCCAAATTTACCTGGTCATTTCCTTCTTATCTCACAAGTCCTCAGTTTCCAAAGCAAAGAACTGATTCCATGTTTATAAAGATTGAGTAGTATTTAAGCACATAAAAACACTTAAATGTCAAATACTGTTTTGAAGAGCAGCTCTTCTTTTGTTACTCGATAATACCCTTGTTAAGTATTCATTCTAAGAATTGAACTCCACGATTGCTATCCAGCTGCATGTGTATGCTTGATAATGCTAACTCCAGTTTACTTAGAAATGTGTACATATTCTTGATTCCCAGATTTATTCATGACATTAGAACAAAAGCCACTTGCAAAGGTGAGGTGAGAACGTCACTAATATGATGCTACCTACTATGCAAAACTTATAATCTATCCACCCTTTTATTATGAAATAGCTCGGCAATTATTCTTGAAAGACTGGTTCTAAAGGCTTCCTTATAGGGTGGAGAAATGTAGTTTACATATAATGCATCAGGGATCACAAGAAGGAATTTTAACCTTTTTTCTTCTTCCCCATAGCAAATTTAAAGGGGAATTTTTAGGGCTGGAGAAACAGTACATACAGGAGGGAAGACATTTGCCTTGCACTGAAGTTCAATCCTCTGTATCACAGATGTTGCCCTTAGCCTAATGCAGTGATCCCTTAGCACCAAGCCAGGAGTTAAGTCCTGAGCATCACGGACTGTGGCCAAAAACAGACCAAACAAAAAAACCCTTAAATTCTATACTAGCTTTTCTAAAATTGCAGACACCCCTGAAGGCTAGCAGCAAGGATGCAGATGGACTAACAAAATACTCTTTACAACTTTCTTATTTAATTGGGAAATAGAAAATAATTTCAGGATCCTTTATACTGAGAAACAGCTGTTATACCTTCCAAGATTTTTAGTTTTAGAATGGCTTCTAACTTGGACTCATTCTGTGGAGATACTCAATTACAAGTGACCTGATGGTTGCATTGGATTATAATAATTAGGAAGATAGGTATCATGTGATGCATTTCAACATGCATTTATGCTCAAAGAGAATGCCACTTTGTCATGGTGAACACATCACTATGAGAAGAGGAAAAAATTCAAATCCAAGTTGAACTTCCTTTTAAGATTAGGACCATCATTTGGTCTCCACAGGACAAGATCTCCAAGGGTATGAAGGAGCATTTGCTCACATGTTCACATGTTCACATTCCTCTATGTCATAAAATGAAAAGAACAAGAGAAAATAGAGACCTGAATTTTGGCTTTCCCCAGTCCCCTGGTAGAAAAAAAAATTAATTTCTCATAGGACTTAGAGAAGCCTAGAATTGTAAGCCTAAAGAACATGACGTTCAAAGCTCCAAACAGGGTCCAGGAAGATGGCATCGACTAGTGATAAAGCATTTGCCTAGTCTAATACAAGGTCCTGAGTTTGCTCTCTACTACTGAATGATCGCCCTGCACTGCTGGCTATGGTTTCTGTTTGAAATTTTTAAAAAGAGAGAGAATTCAAAATCCTCAGATATGCACACTGAGACACATTATAACTAACATGTCAAAACTCAAGGATAAAGAATCCTAAAAACAGCATGAAAAAAGCAGTCACATGGGAGGCAGTACACATAAGATTATCAGTAGATTTCTCTCCAGAAACTCTACAGGCCAGAAGGAAGTTGGCATGGTATAATACAAAGTGCTAAAAGAAAAAGACCTCTTCGCCAAAAAGCTCATGAAGTGAGGCTATCACTTAAATTTGAAACAGTAACAGACGTTTTAGACAAATAATAGTTAAGGAGATTTACCATCAGTAACCCAGTACTCTAAGAAATACTTGAAGGAGTTCTATAAAAGGAAATGAAACCTCTTTGGAAGTGGTAAGGTAACTGAAAATCATAATATATTGTGGAATTACCAATATGTGCTCTTTATTATAAAATTTACTTATTCTTGGCATCTCCACTCTGTTTAGAGAATTTTAAAACTTCAGCTACTGCATTTTTCTAAATTTATTTCTAGTTCCTATTACATGTACTGCATCTCTCTGCTGAAAGTGCATATAAATTGTTATATTTTTCATTCCATCACTATAGTCATAATAGATAGCTGGCATCATTTTATGTAAGTATTATGAATTTTTTACTCAAATCAGGGTTGATCTGAATTATTTTCTTTTGAGAATGGGTCATAATGCCTTATCTTTCCTTGAATATTTCTGTATTGTACCTCTAGAATATCTTAGATGTACTATCCTGAGTCTCTAGGTTCTACTTTATTCCTGACAAAAATGTTGCGTTTCAAAACAATACAAAAATGTTATTTTCAGATTATAACTCAGAATCAAATCTTCAAAGTCTGTCTCAAATTTCTTTCTTTCTTACTCTTTTGGGGTCGCACCCTGCGATGCTCTGGGGTTACGCCTGACTCTGCACTCAGGAATTGTTCCTGGTGGTGCTCGGGAAACCATATGGGATGTCGGGGATTGAAATGGGTCAGCCATGTGCAAGGCAAATGCCCAACCTGCTGTATTCTAACTCTGGCCCTGAGCTAAAATTTGTTATTTTATCCCTCATTGGGATGCTTCATTCTGACCAGTGCAATTTAGGAGTCAATAAATTATTTCTGTGCATATAACTATGAATATGCATAGTAAACATACAGTTTTTATAAACTTCCCACTCTTCTGGCTTCCTTGCTAACTACTAAACTCTGACATTTCTAACCATCATTCTTCACATACATGATTGTTAGTTTTAAGTATTTTAGATGCCAAAACAGTAAACACAGAAAAACAAAGGAATAACATACTATAATATACTCTGAAATACTTTAGTTTTTAAAAGATGTGCTTTTGGGGACTGTAGAGATAATACAGTGGGTAAGGTGTTCACCTTGCATGCAGCTGACCCTAGTTTAATCCCTGAAAGCCCTATAGTCCCCTGCAAGAATTTATCCCTGGGCTCAGAGCCAGGAGTAAGCCCTAAACACCACCAGGTGTGGCCCCAAACAACAAAAAGATGTACCTTTTGATTCATAGCATTACCTTTTCTCCATAATCAATTTTAAAAAATTGATTATGGAGAACTTAACAACTTCCAATCCTCCTATGATTTGCAGTGTTTGGAAATGAAGACTATGTTTCTACTTCTCTTTTTTTCATGACTGTTCTTAATTCCACTTTCATCTGCCTAAAATACTCAAGACTGTGCATGGATTCCTCAGGAACAACATTATGGACTTGCTTCCCAAAGTTGTCTGTAAAAGTGATTAGCTTGCTGAGGGGAAGGTACCCACTTTCATTAAGATGGTTGCTTGTTTTGGTTTTGGGCCACACCTGTTGGTACTCAGGGGTTAATCTACTTCTACACTCAGAAATTACTTCTGGTCGTGCTCAGGGGATGTGAGATACCAGAGAATGAACCCGGTACAACCACATGCAAGAAAAGTGCCTGACCTACTGGTGTCTATCTCTCCGGACCCAATTTCATTAGGATTTTATGGTTCCTGTTCAGATGCTGTGCTCCCATGGATACAACTCCACACCCAGGTGCTCTCAACTCTGCATGCAGCAGGATGCCACACCCCCATCACCAAAATTTGTACTTTGTCGCTACTCCCACGCATTTGATTTTGCCTTTTTCTCAGTAAGAACAACCAACTGCGAGTAAGACTATGACAAGAAAAAAGCCGAGTGCGAAAAACTCAACATGATGTATTCTAAAGAAGGTGATTAAAAATTTCTGCTCCAAAAAAATGCACTGTCACATAATTTGTCTGGATAGGTATTGCAAATTCCTATCTTTTATATAAAAAAATGTTACTTTAGTCAGTAAAGAAGTTTTACTGAAAAAAGCGAAACGATCCTCATTCACTCGGGTTTAGCTAGGAGGCATGCAACACAGTGTAATGAGAGAGCAATTAGGAAAGCTGCAAACAGGCTAGATTCATCCTATCTTAAAATCATCTTTGATAAGGAAACAAAATATAGTAACTACTCAATGATTTAAACATAATACAAGAGTACCTGAATTTTGTTTTTGGAAGGAGAAGATGCACAAAATTTTTTTAATTAAAGCTTGATTTTTGAAATGATAGATGTAGGAATAACTTAGAAGAAAATAGTATTTTTTGTCTGAATTCTCTTTAATCTGTCTAGATTACAAAGACAATTTTTAGTGTGAAAATAAGCCACCCTTAAACCTGAGCCTTTTTACTGAAAATTTGAGGTAATAACATAATTATTTGTTTCTTTTCTACTTAAGAGTGGGAGCAGAAAAGAATTTCGAATAGTAGTGGAACAAATAAGCATCTAATTTATATTACAATAAAATGATTAACAAAAAAATAATTTTCCCATAGCAGTATATTTATTGTGCTGAAATCAGGTAGCAGGGGATGGATAGTTCTGGGGAAATCAATACAGAATATTCACAAAGATTTACAATTCTCTAGTCATAACAAACTGAGCAGCAAAAACAAAAGTACTGAATCTCTTAGACTGAACTAGTATGTAATTTAAATTATTCCGATGACTGCATGCTTTTGGGGGGCAAAGTATGCAAATTTCATATACAATAAATATCTTACAGAATGTTCTGGAAGAGGTTGTCTGAACAAGAGTTTTACATCTTGCACACGCAGTTCTGACATGTTGAGATATTTCAGAATTATTCATGCTTTTCTGGCCATATATTCTGTCTATAGTGATCCCTGTGCAAAAATCTCCTATGATTTGGCCTACGCAATATGACACAGCACAAGTTCTACCTCCTAGAATATTTCCAGTCATCAATCTTCATTACTTGAAATACTTTAAGAGGAAATTTAATTTTATCATTTTGACAGCTCTCACTTTTATTCACTTTGTGTCTCAACAAGTAACACCTTGTAACAATCAAGCACTGGATTTCATGATCTTTAGCACCAAGGAGTCAAGGAATATTGCACCAAAATAGGTTGATACTTCACATCGAGTTAATAAATAAGATCCTTCAACTTTATCACAAGGAAAATATCACCTTGAAATTAAACACTTTAAAAGAGGAGAGTTTCACAGGAAAAGTTTGATGTGTGTTATTTGTAAAAAAGCGGGGAAAATGCTAATGTATTAGAAAGTCAGTATTAAAGGTTACATCAGAGGACTCCTTGATTTTTTTAAATTAAAATTTATTTAATTTTAAACGTGTTTTCCAACAGAAGAGGTAGGTATTATTTCCACATGTGAAAAAAATCAGTAACAGCCACAAATCATAACAAAGAAAGTCTGATAAAAATCAACATACTCTCTTCTAAAAGTACATAAATATAATTATTTTATGATGTTACTAATAAAGACATAAGTTATTTTTCATGTTCCAATCAGACAATTTCGATTTCCGTAATATTACTTCTCAAAGTAACATAAGTACTGAAATGCAGTTGTTTCATGTTCCAATTAGACATTTTGGATTTCCGTAATATCATTTCTCAAAGTAACAGGAGTATTGGAGTGCTGCCGTTTCATCACAAAAATTGTTTACCACAGTGATTTGTGCCACAAGTCACAGGGACCTTTGGGTCACCCGAGAGGATTTTGCTGTAATTCTTATTTACACCCACACCATCATCATCAAGCCTTTAAGAGTCTACAGAAATCAGGGGATTTTTAAAATTTTAATTACAACCAAAGGGGCATTATTCAAACAAAAGGTGGAGAGGTCAAGACTATGCCAGTCAGCAAATGAATTCAAATGTGCAAAATTTGAAGTATCTGCATTTCTTCCTTTGGATCAAAAAAATGTAAAGTAACTTACAGCTAATCAGTAATTTAGCCCCCAATTTTTTTTTTTCACGAAGACTGTAATTCTGTCATCACCAGCTGAACAATGACTTTGAAAGAAACATGGAAATTCTCAAGCATGCGACAAACAGATGTGAGCAAAGGGAGAGTTTCCAAAGTCACATAATGATTGCTTTGGTCTGGACGACACCAAAGCTAATAAAAAAAAAGTTAAAATAAAAACTTCATAAATAAAATATCTGGGCACTGCATTGAACACTTGACTCAGGCTAAGTTACTAATACGTAGAGCACATCTGCCTTTTTTCTCCACACCCCCAACCCTCATTTGCTTCGGTTTTCCCTGAAATTTTCTATGAAATGGGAGCTTCCCCACGGTCAACAGTTAAGGCCCGGTTCAATTTACTCTCCTTTTGCTTTTCCATCTCTCTGCATCTTTCCATTTTCTGACTTGCTCACGCCATTGGCTGAAATTCCATTCGCAGCTGTTTTTCCAGTTTTCGACTTCTTCGGCTCATTGTACGTCCGGACGTAGAAGTTGAGGAAGAGGACTATGAAGCTGATGGCATAGACAATAAGCGCCCAGTGCATCCACTTGGGGAAGGGGCAGTCAGTGTAGAGAGACAGCGCTGTGTGCCCGATGGTCACGTGGAACTGAACCTAGAAGACAAAATGCAGGACTCATTGACTCGACACAGTACACAGTTTTTAGTAACGGGAGCTTCGACCTACCAGGAGGAATCTACACTTTGCCACTCTGCCCAAAGTTGAGTACTAACCTGGTTCCTCATTCAGGGCACTACTCAAATGCCCTCAGCAGATTTCTTACGCCATCGGGAAACTAAAGCACCCTCTACCCAACTGACCCTTTCAAGTCCATTTGGCAGTTTTGTGTGAGACTGTGTCTTTGTCAGCGTTTGAACTATCAGAAACAGTCTTCCTCCAGAAGCTGCTGGCTTCAGCTTTTCAGGAGAACGTCACTTCAGAGCACAGGGCTCTGCTCACAGAGGTCCTTGACAGGGATTCTAGAATCAATGAAGAGATACTGAATAATGCTCCCTAATGAGAAGCACCATCAAGAAGAATAGCTGGATTGCAGCCTCTTCAGTATCTGTTCTCCTTCTACATATTAGAGTTATTTATTTCTACAAAACCGCTGGCAAGTTGGCAAATGAACTGACCACAATTGTTAATTATCTGCTTCCTAGATAATAGCAGACAGGTAAATATGCATCTGAATTAATACTATCCCTTTAAAATCTAAGCCTTTTGGTAAAATTTAGTAGATAGCTAAGAAAAGGCACAAAAATCCAAAATTACTTATATTCTGATTCTCGAATTAATGATTCTCGATTTCTAAATTTCCTAATATTAACAAGGGTTAACTTTTAACAAAATCAACTTGCATTACTGTTGTGAGAGTTGCCTCCTTATAAATATTTTTACAAAATGACCACTCTATTTGGGAGAATAATTATGGTTTCTCTTTTAAGATTATTATAACTGACATTTAGCATTATCTTATGATAATAATTTATTCTATATAAATCCAAAATTATTTCACACTTTAACTTTTAAGACAGCCCGTGGTAAAAATCAAGATTTTCAAGATCTGGCAGTTCACAATGGTTCTTAGAAGCTGCCTCATTGCAAAAGGGTGTGTGCATGACTGGGCTGAGTCAAGGAGAGTCAAGGAGAGTCAAACGTAGGCTCCGAAAAAAAAACCGGAAATAGCTCATGCAATTTCTGTTATCTCTTTCATTTCCTTCAGACTTTTTACTAATTACTAAAGAAAAATAAATGACACCAACTGTATAAAGAGGTTACACCAAACACTAGAGGTAACTTCGTGTAGCCTTTTAGATACAAATGAATCCTTCACACCCGGCATTTCCCAAAAGTTGTGAGTCCTGTTTGGTTAGCCAACTGTTTGGCAACTTAAAGAGAGATGGCCAGTATTTCCAAATGTGACTGCACTGATAACACTGTGTACATGCTATGATTACAGCAAATTATAATAAATGCCACGGTCTGAAAAATAGCTACCAGGTTTGTTTTAGATAGCCAGTTTGAATACTAGGCTTGAGCATCCCTCTGAATGTGATACCAATGCTACAAAAAGTCCTTTGGGGTGTTAAAGGTTTTTCTGGCCTAAAGACTAGAATTTGAAAATACAGAGCTCTGCTTTCTAAAAATGTGGGGTAGGAACTATTCCCTGGTCTTTATTTTTTCCCTTTATCTCACCCTTCCTTAGGTAAATTCTTTTGCTTCAATTTTTATATTCCAGGGGGCCGTAGTGACAGTATACTGAGCACAGTGCGATTCCCAGGACCCCATGTGGTCCTCAGAGTCCTACCAGGAGTAACTCCTGAGCACAGAGCCAGTAGTAAGCCCTGAGCATACCTTGGTGTGTCCCCAATTTTTAAATAGATATTCTCGAGGTACAGCATAGGTTAATAAGTACTGAAAAATGGAATATGAAACAGAAAATTCAAGAAAGGATAAAATTAAAGGAAGCAACACATTTAGAGGAAAAATACTGCAACGTTTTTCCAGTCATAAGAGTCAATGTACTTTGTGGTTTGTTAAGGTCATAAATCTAACTCAAAAGAATGATTCTCTGATAAAGGAAAAACTATGTCTGGCCTTTGAAAATATATTTGAAACTCTAATGGCTGTGACTTGTAGGCTGATGAATAGAGAACTTAGTACCAAGAAGTCTCAACTCCCACAAATGGAGCAACTCAACATTATAGTAGAAACTGTACAAAATGACATCGCTGCTTTCCAATGAATATATTCAGCAGTTTCATGATACATAAAAAGAAATTTTTCAAGTATTTGACTCACCAGCTGCAGCATGGTCAGGTATCGTTTCCACCAAAGATACTTCTGAATCCACGGGCCAAGTGCAGTCAGCCCATAGTATGAGTACATAATCACATGAATGAAGGAATTCATCTGGGCTCCGAAAAACGCTTTAGGGAAAAAATGACAAGATAGACAAAATGTGTCAGGGAGTAAACCATTTGAACATAAAACTAATATACATCATTTTCTAACATTTAATCTTGAGTACAAATTGGGGAGGAAAAAAATTATAATGTAGTAGTGGTACTATGTTAAAGTCTTCTCTTCCTCTCTTGTAGGTATTTTTAAAGTTTAGGAATCATCATATAGATATGGGTTCTCTTCAAAAATCAAGAGCTAGGAAAGAGGGAAGTTTTCAGATGGGTACTCCACTAGCTTAAGCAGACCCTAACATGTAAGTAATGACTACCATAATTTTCATTCTATTATTCTTGGGGGAAAAAAGTTTATGGAACATGTAAATATATTTGTAAATGTCTGATGACTGCCTTTAAATGTAACAAAATATGTACATACAACAAAACAAACTAACTTATTAGGCTTTTACATAGTTTTAAAAGAAAAAAATCAAGATAAACTGTGAAAATGATATGTACCCAGGTTCCTCATCAGAGGAATATTCTGTTTCTAGCTAGGTGATACTACGAATCATCTTCAATCTACAGGAACCTAAGAAAGACCTGGAAGCAGAAACAAACTGACCCAGGTATGACTCGAGATTCCTTTTAATATTAAGCAGCATCTTATGCAATTTCCTTTAAGTAAAAAACCAACAAGCTCATTTAAGCCTACTTTAGAACGGGAGTGAGTTTGTACTAAAGATGAAGTCTTCATATACTGGAGTTTCATTTTGGCATTGTTTAGGTTAGAACTATTTAAAAAAAGCTCCATATCAAAATATTATTCACTACATTTAGACTTAGTTTGTGCTAATCTCTAGGACAATATATATAATATATATGTATATATATACTTTTTTGCTTTTTGGGTCACACCCGGTGATGCTCAGGGGTTACTCCTGGCTCATGCACTCAGGAATTACACCTGGCGGTGCTCGGGGGACCACCTGGGATGCTGGGAATCGAACCCTGGTCGGCCATGTTGGCTGCGTGCAAGGCAAACGCCCTACCCACTGTGCTATCGCTCCAGCCCCTTTAGGACAGTACTTTATGTGTTAAAGAAATCATGTATTTAAAAAAAAAAACTGAGGCTTTACTACCTTCAAATTTCTTTAAAATAAAAACACCTAAAATAACTATGAAAGTAAATTAAATTATAAAGAAATTAAAGATTTCTGGGTGCTCATTACTCAGTTATTTTTTTAAAAAAATATTCAAGATTCAGTACTTTTATACAATTTAACACATGCTAGTACTTCTGAAAATGCTCACCTTGACCCCCAGCGACCCACTTAATTCCAATCCACCACAAGGTAAACATGGTACAGTGATGATATACATGAAGGAAAGAAACTTGGTTGTTTTTCTTCCTCAAAATGAAAAACACTGTGTCCAAATATTCAATGCCTTTAGATACAAAATACCACCAAAGCGCAGCGGCTATCTGTTTCACAGGAAGGAAAAGCAAGTTATAAGCACCAGAACCACCACACCACATGATTTTCAATTCATGGCATACAGATATATATAATCTTGGCTGCACAAAACGCACCAAGGCATGAAATTTTTTTGTCCAGGAGGGTGTGAAACCTAATCATCTATCAATGTAGAAAAACGGACGAGCCCAAAGTTGTGCATAACAGTGTCAACAATTGACAGAAAAATCTCAGCCTGTTATGAAGCTGAATATCACAGAGAACCAGAATGCTGCCTTCAGAGATATTAAACACACCTGAACTGCTATTTCCCAATTTTCTAGAGAAACTAAGACATTTGTTTTCTCATGGGGTTACTGTTGTCAGCCTTGCCTCTCTATCATATTCATGTATTCTTGCAAGTAGGTTTCTTGGCACAGCAACTATGAGATCTCTGGTTTCTGTTAGATCTTTCTCTCTTTTGTTTTAACACGTGCAGCAAAGCATCCCGTGATAGAAGTTTGCATTAATGTTTAAGATGACAAACGGCAACAAAACAACAAATAACTCCTAGGCCAGAAATACAATCCTGCTTTCATAAGTCTTTCCTCTTCCTCGGCTCTTGCAAAGACAGCAGATGGTGCGGAAAGATTACATTGCAGCTTGAGATTAAGAACCCAAGGAGTCAGTGAGAGGTGACCCCTGAGCAAACCGTGTGAAAACAGTTCATGATTCCTAATGTAATGGGGAAATGAAATTCAGTTTTTTATGTCAAATATTTCTACAGTAGGTATCTTACGTACAAATCACCAAGAAAGCAGTACATGACTAACATATATTTATAAATCTGTGTCTCTGGGTTGGGCAGTTAGTTAAATTACACAGAAAGTCAAATTCTCAGGTTCATTGAGACTTGGGTGTTTATACAGAGTTTGCTGTTCAAAACACATTTGCTGAGTGAACAAAACCAACAATGGCAAAGAAAGGGAATCATAAATCATATCATGGGAAATGATGGTATGGGCATAAAATAGTAAGAACATTATATGGTTTTTGTTGTTGTTTTGAGATTTTTGGGGAGACCAGGGGAGCACCGCAGTACTCAGGGATTACTCCTGGCTCTGTGCTCAGGGAACACTTCTGGCAGTTCTCAACGGACCATATGAGGAGGCGGGGAATGAGCCTGGGTGGGCTGCATGCCAGGCAAGCACCCTACCCACTGGACTATCTCTACAGCCCCTATTCAATTTGGTTCTTACTTTTATACCGATCAATCCCAATGTCATAAAACTATGTTTTCTAAGGCAAGATCTACCTATCATTCCTACATGTATCACATATAAGACATATGCATGTGTGTATCTTATAATTTATCTTAGAATTTTTGTTTTTGCTTTGGGGGGGCCACACCCAGAGATCCAGGGCTTACTTGTGGCTCTTCACTCAGAGATCACTCCAGACAGAGCTAAGTGACCTAGAAACTGCACCTGGATCCGTTGCATGCAAGGAAAGCACCCTACCCTCGGGACCAATGCTCTAACCCTGTTTTATAATTTTTTTAATATGAACCACAGCATAAAAAAGTAGTTCAATAGCTAAGATTACTCTTTCTTCCACTTGAACAAAAGTGATTTTACTGATGTGCATGACTAAAAAAAAATCTTATCACTGTATTACTAATGATTTTTTTTCTGAAAAACTCATAAAACTTGAGTGTACCTGTACAAATTGTGCTATACATAATTTGCTAAACATCACGGTCTACATACACAGATTTCTGTAATAAATGTATTTCTTGACCAAATACAAAAAAAAACCTAACATATTAATTTATAATAAACATGGAATTTTTTTAAATGTCCATTCATGCCAACAAAACAAATAACAAGAAAAATATGGATTTTCATTTATGTACTTTTAAACAAAGTCAGAGATTTACTGACTCAGACCAATCCTGCCTACTTTCACTACTATATCAAGGTATTCCACGATTTTATATAAAATAACCACAGACTTAGGCTTGTAAAATTAAGTTCACTTCTATTGACAAATAGCATTTTTAATATACTTACCCTAACTTCATGAACATTGTCAGAGTAATCCACACTCTGGCAAATGTAACTATATCCTGCATTGTAAGATCCCATGAATAACTGTGAGAAGAAAGGAAATAATATTTAAAAATTAGTAAAAAAAAAGTTAATAACTAAAGCATTAAAAACATTAAATCCAAAATGAAACCTTTCATATCATTTCAAAAGTGTTGTGTTGGGGCTGGAGCAATAGCACAGTGGGTAAGGCGTTTGCCTTGCACACGGCCGACCTGGGTTCAATTCCCAGCATCCCATATGGTCCCCTAAGCATTGCAAAGGTAATTCCTGAGTACAGAGCCAGGAGTAACACCTGTGCATCTCCAGGTGTGATCCAAAAAGCAAAAAAAAAAAGTGTTGCATAGAAATTTTCAGATGTGTTGTATATCTAATTTGTTGGAGCTTCTACAATTTACTGTCAAAATTTTGAAGTTTACATATAAATTTAAAATCACTGGTAACTTTTAGAAAACATTAACTCTACTTCATAATACTCAGAGAACTTTCATTACTATCAAACAGGCATAATAGTTTGATTTCTAAACTTGATCTACGGTGATTTGTTTTTAATAAGTTGGGCAAAACATACAATAAATTAAAATTCATTTTATGAAGCTAAATTCTGAAGGGTATCAACTGAAGTTCGTTAAAGGGTGGGAGTCATGCTTGTATTTATTATTAGTTCTTTTCCTTAGGATCACACAAGATTTTAATGAGGAAATCTCCTGGGAAAAATTTTCTCATCCTCTTAGTAATTAAAAATGGCAAAGTTGATCCAGCCTTTAGCTTCCTTTCATAAAAGCATTGCCCATTTGTCCCCTACAAAGACACAGTTGTGTAACAGTTGACTCATTGTAGTTTCAACCCAAAATACAGTGAGATGTCATAGAATTCATCATATTGAACATGAAGTCGGCATCTTAAATTTGCATACTCTGATCAGTTACCAAATCTGATTATTACAGAACAAAGTTTTTAAAACAAAAAAAACAAACAAACAAACAAAAAAAAACAAAAAACCCTGCTGCTGCCTAGTACGTACCAAACACTATGGGGAAACACTCTCTCTTATCTGTGATACCCTGTAAGATGGGGAATTTTATAGATGGGGGAAAGGAGAACTCGGAGAAGTTAAGTAACTTTCAAAGTCAGCTAATAAGAGTAATTTTACCTTTTCTTAAAAAAAAAATAGGGTGGGCTGGAGTCATACCCAGAATTGCTGGGGAGTCACTCCCAACAGTGCTTTGGGGACCATACAGTACCAGAGAGTACTAAAACCAGGAAGGGTTGTCAGCAAGGTAAAGCACCTTAACCCCCGAATTGTTCTCTAGACCATAAGGGTTATTTTAGAATCTGTCTGCCTCAAACTTCCATTTTTTTTTTTTAACCAGTAGGAGCCACCTCAGGGCACAAAGGCAGAAGGAGCCCCCAGCACTGGTACTGGGTGTGGCCCAAAAACAAAACAAAAATTTTCAACCTAAAATTTCCATCTTAGAGCTGAAGAGATCCTTGAGCACAGAGGCAGGAGCCCGATGGGCGCAGCTAGGTATAGCCCAAAAAACAACTCCTATATTTTATGGATGCTTTAAATTTCTGCTATTCGTGAAGGAAAAATGTCAGTGATTTGGTATATTCCACAGTGGTCTTCACATATGCTGATGTTTTCATTTCCAGTAACTCGGGAGGACGATAACAACAACACTTCAATACACCTACCTCTCTGAAGATGTAAAAGTTAAGCAAAACCATGCCAAAATTGTAGAAAATGAGCACTGAGCGCATCTGGAAAGGTTCTCGGTTCTTCATCCATTTTGGACCCAGCCACACAAAGAGAAGATAGAGAGTACTTATGCAGAGTGTAGGGATCGGAGACTGCATCAGAGGCCAATCTTCCACGCGTTTATCTACAGACAGAGCACGAGAGCGCAGAGTTCATTAAGCAGTGGTCTTTACACATAGCATAAAAATCAAAGAAATGAGACCAATTCTGGTGAGTAGCTTTTGAAAACTAAACTTTCATTAGATATGGTACACGTAAGTCCCAAATATGCCTTAGAAAGAACCTAGGGAACAAAGAACAAAGAATATAGCTCACTGGAAACACCAAACAAGCTTGAAATGAAAAATGAATGAAAGATTTCCTGAGCAGAAAGTAAATGTCAAAAAGCACAGGAGAAATGATATCTGTACATGTAAGTTCATTGCAGCATTGTTCACAACAGCCAGAATCTGGTTCACAATAGCCAGAATCTGGAAACAACCAGAGCGCCCAAGAAGAGATGTCTGGTTAAAGAAACTCTGGTACATCTACACAATGGAATACTATGCAGCTGTCAGGAGAGATGAACTCATGACATTTGCTTATAAGTGGATGGTCATGGAGAGTACCATGCTAAGTGAAATGAGTCAGAAAGAGAGGGACAGACATGAAATGACTGCACTTATTTGTGGAATATAAAATAACATAATGAGACTGACACCCAAGGACAGTAGACACAAGGGCCAGGAATATTGCTCCATGGTTGGAAGTCTGCCTCATGAGCTAGGGGAGAAGGTAGCTGGAATAGAGAAGGGATCACTACGTCACTGATGGTTGGAGGGATCATTCGGAATGGGAGATGTGTGCTGAAAGTAGATCAAGGATCAACTGTGACAGCCTCGCAGTATCTGTATTGCAAACCATAATGCCCCAAAGCAGAGAGAGTATGGGGGAAACTGTCTGCCATGGAGGCAGGAGAAGGGGGATGGGGTGGGGGGAGGATACTGGGGACATTGGTGGTGGAGAATGTGCACTGGTGGAGGGATGGGTGTTCGATCATTGTATGGGTGAAACTCAAACATCAAAGCTTTGTAACTGTACCTCACAGCGATTCAATAAAAAAATAAAATTAAAAAAAAGGAAAGTAAATGTCCTTTATCCCTCATTTTATGTTTATTTTTAGGCCACACCTGGAGGTGCTCAGGGCTTTCTCCTGGCTCTGTGCTCAGGAATTACTCTCAGTGGTGTTTGAGGAATCATATGGGATGTTGTGGATCAAAACCAGGTTGGCCACATGTAAGGCAAGTGCCGTGCCCACTGTCTTATCGTTCTGACCCCAGAAAGTAAACGTTTTAAAGAGAACATTGTCTTCCACGTAACATGACAAATTCTGTAGAGCAGGTAGATCCCTTGCCTTGCGTGTGGCCAACCCAGGTTCAATCCCCTGAGCCCTGCCAGGAGTCATTCCTGAGCACAGAGTCAGAAGTAACCCCTGAGCATTGCCAGGGGTGGTTCAAAAACTTAAACACAACAAAAACACCAAACATGACAAATTCTATTACTGCAGTTTGGGAGTTGAACCCTTCTATGCCTTACATCTGAAAGAACCGATGAGATAAAGAGGTGCTGAAAAAAAGCCATTCCATGGAATATTTCTGGATAGTAATGACCAGAGCATATTTATCTTTGGGGGATTAAGATCACTGCAGTTCTATAATCTACTTAAGAGGCAATATACATTCTCAAGACTTTTTTCCCTGAAAACTAGTCCATTTCTTTTTGGCCCATAAATATAACCAATGTATATGCTTTTTCCTAAAACTGTAAATAATTCCTCATATATACATGCAAATATGTAATACTCAAGGTTTGGGGTTTTTGTGTCTTGGGGTCACACTCAATAGTGCTCAGGCCTTACTCCTGGCTCTGCGCTCAGGGATCATTCCTGGTTGTTCTTGGGGAAGCACATGCAGCGCTCAAATCATTTGATAGTCAGTTGCTATTAAGAAGTGCCTTAGCCCCAGTACTGTCTTCAGCCCAGTATTTCAGTTTATTTAAAATATCTATGAATAGCCAGCTATATAATCCTAAACCAATTTCTACAGTAGAGCTTTGGCACATTTAAAACATTTGCCACACTTTAAAATATTTCTAAGAGAAATCTGAATAGACGTGGAACTAACAAAACTCAATGTTCTCATAAATTAGGAAAACATATTAAAACTAATTTTCCTGTTTCTAACAGACAAAAGCCTTAAATGTTGCAAATCAAATGCCTAGTCTATTTTTCACATAAAAATATACAATTTGAGGAAACTATGATTTTGTAGTTAAAAAAATCCTATCAGTCAGTTCCTAAAATCAAGAGTATAAATTGAACTCAGTTGTTTATTACAGTGTCCTCTTGTTTAAATACTGCCAGTTTTACTAAAATTATGCATGCAGAATAGCTCTGGATTAGATCATTATGTTTCAAAATACTTTGCTCCAGGACCAGAGAGGTAGGGCACTTGCCTTGGATGAGACTGACAGAGGTTCAGTCCCTGGCACCCCAAACACCAGATCCCCCAAACCCTGCCATGAGGAATCCCTGAGCGGAATCAGAAGTGAGCCCTGAGCACTGCCACATGTGGCTTCCAAACTCTTCCCAACAAAATTGGGCTAATTTGGGGGGGAAAAACAATTAAGAGCCATCAACTTTATTTCATAGTTCACAAAGGCGGCTATTATCTAAAAAACACATTTCAGAGTTAAAGATAAACTGAAATATTTAAAAGACAGGGGGGAGAGAGAACGTACTAGAGAGAATGTATGAGAGTGAGAGAGAGAATGAAAGGGGGGGGAGGGAGGGATAGAGAGCCCAATCCTCTCACAAGGATAAAGTGTTTTGAAAAATGAGCACTGCCCTTTGTGGAAGACAGTACACATCATGGATTTATTGGTAATCATTCCCTTTAATGTCATCTGCTCAGCCTGCCACAAACACAACTTTCTTTTTCAAAGCCTCACAAACATGCTATAATTATCTAATGCTTCTTTTTCTATAGTATATATATATTTTTTTTAAATACAATGCCTCTCCTAAATTCTAGTCCTGCTCTCATCAAATCATAACTCAGAGGAGAGTCTAGCCCCAAGTCTTTTTTACCATGAGATAGAAAAGGAAAAGCAAAAGGACTCTGCTCTGGGGCACCACATCTGTGTAATGACTGGAAACTGAGCTCATCTGTGAGAAGATTCTCATTTCTCATTTCTCACATCTTCACTCTTTCTTGTGACACAGAGAACTACAAGATCCTAATGTAAATTCTAAATCAGTCATGATATTTCCTGAAATTGAGAACCAAAGAGTGTGTTTTCTTTTCTTTTCTTTTCTTATTAATGGCATAAGCAAACTGTTCCGGTCACTTGCTCATTCAACAGAGAAATCTAGAATAAGAATGGGGGAAAATCAGAGAAAAAGACAGTCTGGGGGAGGGGAGGATGAAGAGAGGGGGGGAGCAGGAGAAGGGCGGAGAGAGAAGAGTGGAGGACAGACAAACTGCCCGTTTGAAGCACAGGAAGAGGTCAAAGGCCAGGCCCGATGGAGAGGTCAAAGGTAGCACAGAAGAGGTGAAAGGTGGGAGGGAGTAAGAACTGAAGAATCCATTCTCTATTCCTCAGCGAAACCAGCGGGACAATTACTGATACTCAACATTTCCTCAATGTCCAGCAACCGTTTCCCATGAGTCTCCTCTACGTGGAATCCAAATGGCTTTCTTTAGGAAAAAATATAAGTCCTCACATCTCGACTCGAAAATGCAAGTCTAGCATTCATTTAAGGACATGTTTCACACCATATCTTCTCAAATTAGCTCTTCCAGGTCACAAGGGCCAGAGAGAGCGGAAACATTCCACCTCCAAAGCTTACTCTGGAAGTTGTAACTGCCACAACCCGCACTACAACATAACACCTCCCACCTTTCGGGAGTATTTGCATGAAACTTCTACACGCCTTTGCAGCCGCGCTTACTAAATTTATCTGCATTAATAGTTCCTTTAGTATTTCTATCAAGATTCTTGTATCCTGCACATCTTTATAAAGATAAAAGGTCATGTCTTATAAGTCTCCCCCAGGCATAAACTTGTAAAAAAGGACTTTTATAGTACAGAAATCCCAGGTGTTATATGTCTTTTATATACCCGAAAAATAATCTGTCACTGTCACTGTCCTCCCATTGTTCATCGATTTGCTCTAGCGGGCCCAGTAACGTCTCCATTGGAGACTTTGTTGTTACTGTGTTTGGCATATCAAATACGTCACGGGTAGCTTGCCAGGCTTTGCCGTGCTGGCGAGATACTCTCGGTAGCTTGCTGGGCTCTCCGAAAAATAATGAATTAACCAATTTTTCATTACTTCAAAGGTTATAGTAACATGTACCCCGCCTCACTTCTGTGTGCAATGTGTTTATGTTGTTTTGCTTTCCCAAAAAATTGAATGAGAAACAGCTTACATACATTACTATATAACTTCAATGCAGATAGCATGAGATTTTAAGCATATTACAAAGTTATTGCTGCAGTAGGCTGAGCTAGCACCTTCCCGTGTAGATACAATAAAAAGGATGGTGGTGGGAGCGATGGACATGGGAGAGGGAACAGTTAAAGAGAAAAGATCCTATCCCCAGGATATAAAAACACTCTCGTAAGGACATAAAAACACTCTCCTAAGGACATATGCACACCATCATCCATTGCTGCACTCAAGACAATAGCTAAGATATGGAATCAACCCAGATTTCCAACAACAGATTATGAAAATACGGTGTATATGTACACAATGGAATACTACGCAGCTGCAGGGAATGATGAAATCACGCAGTTTCCTGCAATCTGGTTGGAACAGGAAGATAACGTGTTGTGTGAAGCAAGCCGGATGAAGAAAGACAAACACAGGATGATCTCACTTATCTGTGGTATATCGAATCCTTGATGAGGAAATGTACTGTGTTAAGGGGGGGATGGGAGGATGCTTCGATCACCCTTTCCCCCAGTGTTTACAGAGGAGGACAAAGAAGGAAAAGAAATCAAGGTGGGCAGGAGAGAATGGGAAGTAATCGGTGAACAGGCATTAGGACCTCAGTTATACGGTGGTAAAGGTGAATC